GGTTATTTTTAGCGTTTCATCTACAATGAAAAATTCCGTCATTGTCAGGGTGACATGCTTTTTGTCAGACAGGGTTTTGGCATAAGCTGAGCATGTTCAGCAGAGCGTTCACATTAATAAAAGGAGTAAAATGGAATAATTCAGTGTCGTTTATATTCTTGGCAACACCAAACTGGCTGCACACCGGCGGTATAAATGATTATTTCCAGATATTCGAGAGGATTTATGGAAGTTCAGGCCGATGCGTAAATAAAAGATATTTAAATCTGATAATACATCAAATCGTTTTATAAATATTTGATACAGATAATTAAGCTTGCTATGAAGCTATTCAACGAGTACGTACCATGGTTCCAGCAACGATGGAACGCCTCTGTACAGGTATATAAAAAAATTCATACCAGTGGCGAAATCTGTGTGTAGTATTTTGAAACACTTCCATTTCTCGTAGCAATATGATTTTTGTCCGTATTATGCTTGCATTGGCCTATTAGGACTTCGACTGACAGCTGACGTCGAAATGACTACAGATTTGTGCCTGAATAAATTTGTCATCATTGTCAGTGTTGAAATTGTGGTCTTTATTCTGTGCGCCTTAAATTCAATATTTTCTCATCTTGTATAAAATGAATATTATTATTTTTTTTTATTATTATTTTTTTTTTTATTATTATTATTAGTCGGCTCTCTTATGATACAATGACGCCAAGCTGACGCTGCTATTGATGCTACTTGAATTTCTTCGAATGGGAAGTGCCTATAAAGGAAATCTAAAGGGAATAAAGGGAGTTCGTCGATGTGAAAACGGTATCAATACGCAGATCATGGCAAAGTATACACCAAATTAGAGTTCGATGTTACAACCATTTCTATTATTTGTTGCTATCGAACAGCGAGTCATACAAGTTTGTACTACGTGATGGGATGTCACTCGCACGTCTATATATAATATTGCAGTTTTTTTTTTAAAAGAAAGAAGAAAATTTTTATATCTATTGCTTTATTGTTCCTATGTGACAAATTCGAAATCATTGCTTGTGAGTTTACGCTGCATCCAACCGTTTTTCCGTTAGCGTACCATTGTTCTATCTTATGTGTATGAAAAAGCATATACATATCTATTATTAAGACTATTTTTTTTTGATACAATGTCTACTACCATAGGAATTTCTCTTCTTTAGGTAAACTAGTAACGGCTTTTATTATTATCATTATTATTATTGCAGAAACCGCGTTTTGACACAATTCCATAGTCGCTGTCGTATCTGATTAGCTACTTCCGCATATTTCTAGCAATTTCCGCAATTCCTACTTCTGTCCATTGAACGGGGACATTAAAGCCTTTATTGAAAATATTCTATTATATACATTGCCTCTCACTTTGGTCTACGGTTTTATATATAAAACATACATAAATATACACATATAGTGTAAATAAACAGTTACAACAAGCTAACTATCTTATCGGGTTTGAGTAACAGTAGGGCGTCCTGGCAAATGTTAATTAACTAGGACGATCGGCGAGAGGAAGTGGCTTCTAGAGATTCCCGGCTATGCCTTATTAACTCGCTTATACCAGATGCCTGACATAACGACTCCTAATAGAATTTCGACATGAGAACCAACGAGGTCCGATACGAACAATTCGGTATCTAACGAAGACACGGAAAGTTCCCTGTTCGACCTTTTACGCTCGAGTGTCCCTGTTTGGCAGTTCTTCTACGAGTTTTATTGTTTTCGGAGAACTTTGGCATCGACCTCGTCGAATATCTGTTGCCTTGCGCAGAGTATTTTCAGCCCAGGAGCCTAAAACTCGTTCATTGCGTCCTGTCGCTGAACCTTTTCAACAATATTTGATTTACGAAACCGACGTAACTAGGTCAAACTTTTTTTATTTGGCTATATACGTCATGTTGGATTCAGTCATCTTGTCAAATCATAGAGAAATAGTACAGTAACACGTGAAAAAATACGCTAAAACCATAGGGGTTCCTGAGTTATTGCTACAGGTTTCACTTGAAAATAGCGCAATTCAATCGATAAATATTATATATATATATATATCGAATAGATTAAAGATGCTGAGGATGATAAGCGAATCTCAACCTAAATTTAAGGGACAGGTAACCTCTCTATGAACAATTATCACATATCTAAATTACAGTAGTGTGCTTTAACTTATATTATCCAGTGCTTAACTACATAAGCCAGATAACTCCGGCAAATTTTTCTCAATTAGAAGTGCAGCATACGCACACATGCTTAGTCGTATAACTTTATCTGGGCGTTTTTTTAACTACAAGGTTTTATCGGTTATAGGTTGGGTCAAGATACGTAAACAGTGCATCTCTTTCATGTTGTGCCATTCATTTGTACTTCAAATAAGAAAACGGCAGGCACCCTTTAGTCGGGCACTACTTTACACGGACTTTGCAGTGAACGTTTGGGTTTTGTGTTATAATAGGAATAACCAGAAAACGCCTAGTCACATCAAATCTTTTCATTGTCATCAGATCAAACAAAGGCTATTGATTTTTGATGTGTGGATCTTGAGAGACCTGGTTCTTTTCGGGCTGAAATTGTAGGTCTAAGGTGTTTGTAATATGTTCAACTATATTGATCTCACGAACAAAAATAGTGCTTTTGGTCATTTTCGAAAGATCATGTGCTCTGTGAAATGGGTAGGTCGGCCATTTAAGTATACTATACTGTCAAACATATATGCCTGCTAAATTTCAAAGCACGAAAACCTTACAGGTCTCATTTGCCAGGTAACGAAATGTTATTTGTCCTGTTAGTTCTACGCGAAAAAGTTAGCTATACGAGTTTATAGCAGACTTATAGCAGAGTTCACTGGACCTAGTCTGATGATTACAAGAAAAAGAGGGATAGTTACAAATACCGGGGCATGCGGTTTTCAGTTTTCGACCTGACGCCGCAATATATATGAAACTGTCTGTTTCCTAATATTCACCACTATGGGCGAAGTATATGAAGAGCATAACAATGCTGAAACACTTTTAAGATAATTATACACATTTAATCCATAAGTAAATTATATGTACATATTACCAGGCTATACATAAGAAAACAAAATGTTTACATATTCGTGTTCGAAAATCAAACGTTCGCCGTCGACGTAACGGCTTGTAACGTACGATTCCATCTGTGTTATTTATTAAATATTTATCGAGGACACTTTTATGCGATATTCGAGTAGACGAGTAAGTTGTCGAACGGCTCCCAAAATGAAAACGTTTAGCACCTCTCTAACTACCTAACCTTAGTCAGAAAAAAAAAGAAGATAAAACTGTACTAATTATATTCAAGTAACTAGCTGAAGGTGACTGGGGAAGGAGCAAATACGCTTTCGTAAACTTTGAATGCTCCTTTTTTGCTATAGTTCCGGTACAGGTATCAAGAAAGCTCTCATAAAATACGGTCTGCATCGACTGCGGCTCAAAAAAAATATCCGATGTGGAGCTTCAGCCTTCTCACAATAACTTTGAGTCGTCCGACGTTTCCTCATGGAGAGCAGTTTAGCATATCGAACGGCGTATACCGCACCATTTCTTGAAATAAACCTCCGTTACCTTTCAGTCATCCAGACATCTCTATAATAGTTGCTAAAATTCAACAGTAAGTACATTTTTTAAGGAAAGGAAGACATGAAGAATTGTGGACAACATTTTAAATAAGCCATTGGCAGACTGTGAAGAACACAGTTGCCTAAGACTTGGCGCTAATAGCTTTTCATAGCTGGGGCGTCTACGAATTATGTTCACGAAAAGAGTTAACGGGGCGGGTACGGCGAGCGGTGGAACCCATTTATGCCACCATTTATGTGTAGACAGATTTGGGATAGACAAACCTGACGCGGACATTTTGATTAATAAGCTAATGGTGTTGTATGTTTAGCCAATAGACGTAATGTATTTGATGTGGTGGCCAATTTATTCAGACGTTTCTATTTAAGCATTACGTTTGTAATTTTTACTGAACACTAAATTGAATAAACCCAGATGGGGTTTTTTATGCATTTCTTTTTATTTCACGCTGAAAATGTATTCGCATGACCCATCGCGAACTCGCTGCTTTTTTAACCCACTGCATATGAACATCGATAGCAAATAGGCTTAGGTATAAAGCAATTGTAGATCTAACTGCATATTTCATTGAGTCTGCGCTAAGGAGTCGCCGATGCAGGGAATAGGCTGTCTGCATCGACAGAATACCATACAATAAGATCTGATTTTACCCAAAAATCATCCTTGTGCTCTTAGAAAGACTTCGTTTTTAGGACCTGCGTACAAATCGCACACTGAAACACCTTTATAAATATATCGTTATTATTCCTCAAACTATTACTCAGTGGTTCTACGGAAGACAATTCCTAAGAAGGACCAAGCCATTGACTTAGAGCGCTTTCTAGGTCACCTGGGCCACTTTTCAATGGTAGTCAACAGCAGAGAAGCTTGAATAAATGTTTTAAGTTTTGACGTCCGATATCCCTTTATCGAAAGCTCGTTCAGACCGCTGGTCCCTTCGAACGTGAAAACGAAAAATGTCCACACTCGGTTTCAGATCCCGATCATCTTTTGTGTTTCTAAATTTAATCGGCAAGTATGTTACTAGTATACCATAATGGAAATAGTTGCGAAACGCTTAGGTTTTTTCTTCCAGCCTTCGTGACCATACATCGTTCAGCGTTGACCTATTGTATGGTAATGAATTGAGTTTACGTATCTTGAAAGGTTTTAAAAAGGTCCTAGGTGTTTAGCTCGAGTTGTGCGGTTAATCACTGCGTGAGACGTTTGGCTTGTATCAGCGCGGAGCGAACGGTGCGTTCTCGAATCCCTCCGCAAATATTCTCTGGTCTGGTTTAGGTTTTTCTTCGATGCCATTCCAACTGTAAACGCTGAGCGGCTCGCGATCGGTCGCTTAGAAACATAGACGCACTGAATTGCGACGATAACGAATTAAAGCTAGTTGAAATCGTTGACGTTTCGGAGATTCTGACGGATGCACTCATGCCATGCGCACCGTTGTCTCCTTCGAAGTTTCTATTTAGCCGTGGGCGATAAAGGCAGGTCAAGACCGTGCCCAGTAACCGAACTATGCAGAAAATAAAAAAAAAAAACTTACCAAGGAAAACCTCGATTATTCGAGTTCTGGGTATGTGACGACACTCAATAGAACGCTACGGTGAAGTAAATATTACTTATCATTAGCATTTTGAGCTGGTTTTTAGAAATGTTTAGAGATCACTGTGACGGAACGGTAGTGTCTTTCGCTATTGTCTAGTAGTGTTTGTCCTTGCGGAAGGTAGTTGAATTCTGCTTCGCTTAACAGTTTGTTGGCGTATATCCCCGTGATAACCTGGTAGGTGATGTATTTGCCTACTGATCCTAGGGACATGTTGTGGTCTAGGGTCGAACCCAAGCGTAGGCACACTTAGTTTCTTGCCGGGACTGTATGACGGCTATATCAGACGTAAAATTAGAAAAAAACAGGCTAGATTCTTAATATTTCAAAGATGTAAAGCTAAGGTAAGGTAAGGGTGCATGTATAGGTATTACAGATAGGTCATAAATACTTCATTTTTTTTGCTTCTTGCTTGTTACGTAGAATTGTCAGGCTTCAGGATTAGCGAAATTTATTTTCGTGTAAACTCCTGTGGCTGATCCTATACTCACCGTGCTTTTGAGTGTCCTTAGTTCTAATGCGATTTGAACGAATGTGATTAGTACAAGGTCGTGGGATTTTCCACGGGGCGTATATATTTTTCGTGCTAAAAAAATTTTGAACTCGAGTCGAACGGAAAAGTTAGCTTCCCAATTCAATCAACTCCACGCAAAAATGGAAAAGAACAGCGATTACGCAAGATTGTTTATAAGGGTTACATTTATCTTGCGGAGTTTCACCATTCTTAGTTGAAAGTTGTTGTCCTTCAATTTTAGTGATCTTGTACGGTAGGAACACCCTGATTCAAAAGCCTGCAAACGATTTCAACACAGGCCGATAAAGGCGGCTGTATCAGCAAGGTGTTCCGTAACTTCCTCCAAACTTTTAGTCGTTTAGCTCATTTGTGCAGTGTGCACCTAGTGTTTTATTTTTCCTATTTTTCCTTACGGCACATTGCAAACTAGAGACCAGCTGCGTTGAATTGATCGATATTCATAGTGTTGATCGTGAGTAAATAGTCGTCGTCGCCCATGAAGACTGAAAGCTATGAAAGACGCAGAAAGGATTTGGGAAGAATCATTATATCGAGGTATTTAAGCCGAATTACAGACACGAGTTCCTGAAGAGTATGTATTTATTTATCGTTCTCCGCACTCGAGCGCAGGTCGCATCTATGTTCCATAGCGGGTTATGAAAATAGAAAATCACCCACTTGAGAGAAGTTTTTATTTGATTTCTAGTTCGTATTCCGTATACGCATTCCGCAGATGAATCCTTTTACTATTCAGCCGTTGCGAGTGTGTGTGTGATCAACTTCAGTTCCAGTCAGCCCTCATCCACGTTCAGATATCTCTGACTTCCAGCTAGCCCGATAGCCAGCAGTTAGCTCAACTTTTAGATATTCAGAAACTCTGTTCGAGATTTCTATCGACAGTCACCCATTAGAAATGATTGTCAGAACGGTTCAAGTACCAATGTCGACGTTTCCCGATATGTGGTGTTATTGGCCTCTTGTATTTGATTAGTAACAGCCCCCACCCCCATCAGAGATCAGCTCAGCGACACAGATCCGCTTGGGGACCGACGATATTGACGTGATCTACATTCAACCGTCATCGTCATGGTCTTCTTTGACCATTGTTGCAGTTCTCGTCGTCGCTATACTGGTAGGGATTACACTCATCTCTCTGTGGTGGATTATTCCATTATTCGTTCTACATGCAGCGGCACGCAAGATCATAATCGTACCGAAATCAGAGGCGCTTCAGGATTTCATCGAAGGAAGAGACCTGTATCAGCGAATCTACATCTTCAACCTTATGAACCCCGAGGAAGTCTATAAAGGGCAGAAGCCAAGCATATCCCAAATGGGACCCTACACGTTCAAGTAAGTGTTCTGTTGATTTATTCTTTAGCGAATCATACTTCTCGTCGAGTGTACGCCATTGATGGGAATTTGAATGTTGGCTTTTCTACTAAACGTTGCTAAAGTAGGCTGGGATTTCATGTACTCGATCCGTACGTCGCTAGCTCACGGGATTCAATGTGAGCACCTAAGCAAAATGCATCTAATATATAGAATACAAGGTTCAAAGGTTCAACCAGTAGTACAAAGCCAATGCAGCGTTTATCTGAATAATTTATCTTAATAACCGGTCGTATACGTATAGCTCGAAAAAAAGTCTGTATTAATTTGTGTGGGATTCATCTTCAGGTTTCGTAACCATCGGTCGGTGGCATTCAAAGGTGATGACCTTCTGCAATATATCGATAAGCCCTCGTATATCTTCATGGAAAAAGAATCCAAAGGGAAGCTCGAAGACAAAGTGACTACTGTTGACCCGCTTGTGGCCTTAGTAACTTTTAGCTCGAATGTGCCAGAGGCTCTACGGAAACAGATACTTGGTCCTAAATTCGGCGATCGCAAAACGTTCGCGGTAAGGACCGTTCGGCAGCTCCTTTACGAAGGGTTCGTATACAGAAGACATACCCACACCCAGATATAACCACGTCATATATCATATTCCAACAATGCACGATTTAAATGCATTGCTTGCAGCAGCTTTGACCCTTGGTGTGGTGTAAAGTCAAATAGTACTTCGACAACGAAGTTGAACGTGTGGAGGAAGAACTTGGCCTTCGCAAAGCCTTACCATACCAAAAAAGTGTAATATCTAGACAAGAAATTGATTGATTCATTCATTCATTCATTCAAAGAACCGTAAACAAATAAGGTCAAATTAACGAAAATTTTATGATTCTGTAATAGATACAGAGACGATATCCTGGATTTCATGAGAGGTACTCTAGGTGTGAATCTGCCCGACAAGATGGGATATCTATATGGTCGTAATGGTTCCGCAGCTCAAGCGATTACTATTAACACAGGAGCGAAGAATATTAACGACCTGGGAAAAATCATACTCATAGACGGAAAGAAGTGAGTATGGTTTTTGCAATTTCCGTAACTGCTGTAACAACCATTTTGAGTAAATAGCAACTAGGAATCTAACAGCAGACTCGTCTCATATTTTATAATTTCATTTATATTTTATCTTTTCTACGGAGCGTTCGCTAAGTTCGATATTCACGTTAACTTGATTTCCTCTGATGCATTTGCTGGCCATTTTAGAATTATATTCATATTCTTGTACGTTTGCTTGTAAACCACCTGTAATAGTCTCTCGTTTTTGCCCTATTGGATGATTGTTTTCAGGCAACTTCCTTTTTACAAGTCGCCATGCGATAAGATTGAAGGAACAAGTAAGGGCGAGCACTTACCTCATAATGTCGATATCGACGTAAGATTTGTGTCCGTATGATATAGGTTGACCTGTGCCGTCTCGTTTGTACCAAATTCTGTGTATACAACAATTCGATGGAGGGAAGTTTCCGGACAGTTCAGTTTCTGGAACAACTCGTGTCATTTTGTCAAGCGTCGTTGGTGTCACTTGCTTTTTACGACGTACTCTATAGAGTGAGAATACCCCAGCTACCCGTCAGCCCGCGTCGGGGCCAGATCTTTACTAGCCTCATACCTTAATACTTCACGAATCTATTAGGTAGTCAAATGAATGCATTTACCTAGCATACGGAATTAAAAAAGGCAGGCGCGGTTTTTCTGCGTGGTATAAATCATTGTTCCATAGAAACTCATACGGACTTATATAAATTACCACCTACCGAACCGTCTTAGCTAGCCAATCTGTAATTTGGTCTTAGCCAAATAAATCTGTGTATACTTCTGGATTGATTGGTAAGTTGCATTTCGTGTTAAAACTCATTGGTGTCTTGGCTGGTGCTAGACGGTGAGCGCCAAGCTCAGTTTCCTCCCTCATCGCCCCCACCATCGATCACCGTGTTTATGCCTTCATTATGTAGACCTTGGCGTCTGGAGCTATCGAACGAAGGCGAAACCGACGTTTATGGCCTTCAAGTTACGCGATATGCTGCTACCAAAAGCACGTTCAGTATAGGAAAACATACCGAAAACGCCATGTAAGTAACAGACAGCCAAACCTTCTATACTGTTAAAATGAAATTCTTAGTCTAGTCCTTTATGTAGTAAATAGTTAGGTAGCTTTATTGTTTTGATTCGTATCCACAGATCTCTACTGCTATGCAATCATATGGGTATCCAGGCTGTTTCGTTGGCAGGCCTCGTCTAATGTTTTCTTCGACAAGTTAGCCCCCCTACACATCTTCAGTTCTTCAGAGTACTAGGAGCGGTATTGGTCTGTTTATCTCGATTTCGTTCGACTAATTAATGTTGCATGTTAAATTGTGATCAGGTGCTCAGAACCTAGGTCAACAGGAATTGCAGGCACATTTGATGCATCCCTCTGTCACCGAGGCTTGCCAACAGTGCTTAGTCTTCCACATTTCCTTCACACCGACGCTAAAAAAGACGATTTTGCGAAGGGTATAAACCCAGACCCAAGCATCCATGATTTGTATTTGGACCTGTACGGGGTAAGTTCTTCCCGGCATGAATGTATAGCATAGCCTCAACAGGTAGCTATATTTAACCAAATATTCACTGTGCAAATCGTCGTGTACCGCACAATCGAGCAAAACATACTACTTAAAGGTTTTTATAAGTTGGACTTTCCGCTTTAATCGAAGGTGTTATCACCCATTGACAATCCAGTTTATAATTCCAATTATTTAGTCCCATACTTTTTGTGGTACATAACCTCCGTATGCGTTTTTTACACATACGATATAAACGAACTTATTAAGAAAAGTACATTTTCTGCATGTAGGAAAATTGTCCCACATTTTTTCTAAAGACGCTGCCGCAGCTATTCTAAATAATAACAGTAATAAAAAGCAGTCTTTTTGTTTTCTCTATGAACCATTGTTCAGCCGGTTGGTGCCACTATAAATGCAGCCATAAGAGTTCAGACGAGCATTCAAATCCAAAAAGGACCAAACGACGGTGAACTGCTTGATACAATCTTTCCTGTATTCTGGCAAGAAGTTGTAAGTGCAATATTCCTTTACGAAACTCGTTCATTATCTCGGATAAGTTTAGGGCTGGACATAGCATCATAGGTATTAGCAATATCTTCAAAATCTCTAAGTACTGTGAAATCGTTGATGTGTTGTAAACAACACACTGATGATTTCTTTATTAATAGCTGGTTTCTCGATAGGTTCCCGTGACGTTGTTTGCATGGCGTTGTTGGAGCAGGAGGAGGCGGCGAAGAGCCGCAGACAATAGATGGTAACCTGTAACATTAGGCTCAGTAAATTCTCCCCGTAGTATAAAAAAAAGACCGACATTGATATTGAAGGGGCTACCTGCAATTAGGGTCGATCAATCAATTGCAGTTCAAGTCGAATTGAATTATTCCGACCGCACGAACTCAGATTACGAATTAGCAATCTGAGGATGTGGATACCACTTGGAGATGGTAAAGCCTTTGATATGCTAGTGCTAGGCCTGACCGGATCACGGTGTCACCTAATCACAGAAACACTTATTGATTATTGTATTGTGTATAGCATTTCATCGGGGTCGGTTTTCGTCTACCCTTTTCAGATCGTACCCAATGAAACTCTCAAAGTAATAGCTAAGAGGCTAATCTCAAAAGTGCAGATTCCTCTTAGATTGTATCCGTTGATTGCGCTCATCATAGCGATCATCTACCTCATTACATCGCTACTTCTGGTGGTATGGCTCATTCGAAAAGAAAGGGCAAAGAAAATTCTAAAAAAGTTTCATATGTCAACCGGAGACGTAACGTTGTCCGATTCATCTGTATCAGATTCATCAGAATCAAGAACGTTGTCATGGTACGACAACTTACTTAGTACGGATCGTGGTCCGGAAAGTCACGCCCAACGGGAAGAACCAGAAGACACAACGGACAGTACGAAAATGGGTTATGTTTTTTTTTTATCACCACTTGTTTATGAGGTAAAACAGAACAATGATCTAGTGTTTTCTCAAAGAAACCCGGAATCTATGCAGGTTCGGTAAAATTGGGCGCCTCATTTCTCATGGAGATTTGTGCTTTTTAACGCCGAGAGGACATATACATACAGTATTTGTTTAATGATTATTTATACGTGAAGTTCTTATGTTTGTTCAATTCTATTTTCAGCAGCTAGGAAGGTGCGCCATGCACCAACCACCAAAGGTCCCTTGAGAACTGCGGGAAAAACACGTGGTGATTTTTTAACCCAAACACACACGCGTACACTACAAATGAGTGCCGGTCATCGCACAAAAGGACGCCAGATTGACAGGAAGTTGACGAAGGCGAAAGGTAAACGAAACGATCTATCTCCCTCACCAACATCCCGTTCTAGGTTAAAACGCCAGTCTAAATTTCGTCGGCGAAGCCGCAATGTGCTAAAGGCAAAGGCAAAGCAAAAACGAAAGCTATTCGAAGAACGTGAATCTGTTGCTCAGGCCGAAATGAATAAAAGGACCGGGGAAAATTTGCTACCAGATCAAGATTCAGCGAAGAAGTCGGAAGTACGAACATCGATAGAGGAAGAAAAAGCGCATCATGACACCGAGGTAATGTCGGAAATCCAGGAAGAATCAATGAGAAACTTAAGCCCGGGTGGAGAATCCGAGCAAAAGTCGACAGCAAAGCTAGAATCGACACCCGCACAAGGAAGTGGACAGGTTTTTTCCGACAACAACATACAAGACATAGACGGAATGTTGTGTATATCAGCAAGAGGTTACACAGGAGGATCCCATCACTACACACAGCCGCGGAATCGCCGCATCTCAAAAAAGGTCTCTCGTCCTAGCAAACTACACACAGAGCTGACGAGTTACACTGGTTCTAAAGGATCTGAAGTCATTTTATTCCGTGATATGCTAGGGCTTAGTTTAGCTGACTCAGAAAGATTGATAAGCCATAATTTCGACGACGTTGAAGATTTGTCTGGACAGACCCAATTAGACTTCAATGAAAGTGATGACTAGCTGTAATAATCGGTATCTGCGCAAATGCTGTACATTACGGCTGGACTAAGCGAAAGCTTTACACCCACCCAGTCCTGCAGCCGAGCAGTGAGTGGGCATTGAAGAAACTCGCTAGAGCGCTGAGCTTACTAGAACACAGTCGGAAGTACTGGCTTGTCTAGAAGCGGTAGACTATCAGAGATGTTTGAAGGATGCTATTGAGTGGGTTGACAAGAGGATATTCTTGTGCACCTCATAGCTTAAGCGGTCACTGGCACGCAACGATGCCAGCGTTTGCACTAGTACTTGTGATTACTACGCCGTATATTTAGGGTGTGGGAACAACTACGTTATCGAAATACTGTTATTTTCCCTGAATGGTCCTCGTACATGAGGGCTGGCGTGTTCGAGCATCATTTAAGTGAGCTAATTTACGGTCAATTGCGAGTACACACCTGAACATGCAAGACGCATGATTTCTTTTGGCTTCGTTCATTCAAAAAAATGAATACTTCCTGCAAATTGGAATCAAACGAGACGTCTTTGATGTTTGGCGTTAGGTATGGTATTGTAGTTTAATAAATGGTCTAGTTTAGTATTATAAACCTTCTATTTATGGACGCTTATCATTTATGCAGCGTAATCATTCTGATTTCCCTTCCTTTTCATAGAAATCAATCGTTAGTACTAATGAGACAATCAGGATTTTTTGAAAGCAGCAAGAGCTTACGCAGTAAGCTATTTACAAACTTCTCTCCAAGCAATCGGAACTATGTTCTACGTAAGCTAGTTCAACCTTTCGCTACGATCGTCTATTTTTCTTTTCGTTAAGATACATTTTGTTGCTGCCTTAGCGCTGATATTACGTAAATTCGCACTTGCTTAGAACTAACGAAATAACATATCCCCCCAGAAACCATTGGAACCGTCCCACAATTGAGTAAAGGCCCGCTTTGGCCGATAACAGTTACGTTTTGACGTTAGGCGCTGTAAGTAAACGAATTAAATATGAATTACGTGCGAGGCATCAAGGATGAAGCTTCCATAGCGCAGGTTGCAGAACAGTCGGTCGAAAAGCTGAGTGCTTTCACAGAAGACCGTTGTTTTACTTCTTAAAGTGAAATGCTAGAACGATTATAAACATTACATCTAATGACTTGTTGTGATGTCCAGTAAATCAGACTTTCGCTGCCTATGTTCTTAGATAAACACAACGCTGTAGCTTAAGGAATAACTGTTGCGGAGAAAGGCTGGAGGGTCAATTTTAAAAAAATCCGTGGTGAATGCATTAGTTTCACGACAGGTTAGAAATGTAGTGACGTACAGTGAAATCGTTCAAAGGTATAAAGTCGGCTTGGACACCACAAGGTACGCCTCACTTTAAATAAGGTACCTGACAAGTCATACGTTTAGGCTGTAAAGTAGGCTGCATCTAGGCTCCACTGAAAAACATGTCTTTATAAGCCTAATATGTATGCGCGCGTGCGTGATTCAAACGCAACAGTAAACAATAGAAGTGTATAGTAACTGGTATCAAAAATCCTGATTTTATCTTGTATGCATGTGGTAACTTTAGTTCAAAATTTTCAGGAGGTCCTAAGCGACGTGAAACTATTGAGTCCTTTAAAAAGAGTGTAGACGACAATGTCTTCTCTGAAGGAGTAAAATCTGATGACATACAAGCAGACACCAAAGAGACCTTAGACGAAAACAGGGTAACGATGTTCATCGTTAACAGAGCAACAAGGCCCAAACGTGGACAAGCCACCAGATCCCGCGTAGTAAGACGAACCCAGTTTCCCATGGAATGTCCTTCGCCACCTGAAGTTATCACACCACCACCGACAGAGAAGCCTCGTGCGCGAGATGCTAGGCGACCCCTGAGAAAATACGAACCTCGCAAAAAGGAGGGTTCACTTATTGACTCACGTAAGGGCGAGCCATCGTCTACGCCGGACCAAAGCGCACCCAAAACGCCTTCGAAATCACCGGAAGGCGCTCAAGCGCAAGCGGCAAGTCAAGATAAAGGAAAGGAGGACAAGCCACATTATCCTGAATCAGAAGCAGGCGCATTCAAAAACCTTAACGGCGCGGAAGAACTTTTAATATCAGCTGACATTATACCTGTTTCCGCCTCGATCGTCACAAAACTCGACAAAATAATACAGATATAATGAATACCTTTAGTCACTCTCAGATACAACATGGCACGGCTGACGTTGCGGTTAAACAATGTCCAGTAAAGCGAAATTAAGCAAATCACTCGGAAAATTGACAGAAGCAAGTAGAAACGGTGAAGACATGTAAAACTTACAAGGCTAAGTTTATGGTGGTCTTCTGCTAACTTCCAAAATGAAGCAATTGATGCTTAACTATTTCATCAATGCTTGTTCACTACTTATTCAAGCTGTGAGCCATCTAGGACGAAACGCTTTCGTCGTTACTCATTTTCGTGGGCAGAGAGATAGGGTGTTTGTGCTCAGGAAGTATGTTAATAATGGCACGTGTTTTTCCTACACTGATTCTTTGCTTTACCTATTCACTATAGAGCTTTTAAGAAAAGTGCTGTATTTTCGTGGGCACTCCGACAGTTCTGTAGACATCTATTTGCTCTTCGTTCGCGGACCTACAGGGGCGCGTTTCCTGTTTTTATCCCTAGTTCTAATGAAACACGCAAGAAAAAATTCATGTTAACTAAAAATGTCGTTTAAGCAAGGCTTAATCATTCTGAGCCAGGTAGTATCAAAAAATGTATTTTACACGTAGAAGCTCAAATGTATTTTGTAAATACTAAGAACATGATTAGTGTGCTCTGTCATTAAAACATGGAAAGGAACTCGTGTGTAATTGTGCGTGATCTTTGTTGTGTTTAGCCAAAACAAAAGAATATAAGGAGAACGTTCATGAAATGTATTCACGTTTAAAAAGGGCATAGTAGTGAATCCGCCCCTCTTCCAGTTGGGCATTTACGTCGCATCCAACAGTAATTTTTTCCCCTTGAAAACATCTTCAATTCGATTCAAAAAAATTGTCTTCTCATGGCGCCGTGTTGTACGTCAAATGTTTTTTTCTGGTCTCATTTCAGTCATAACTCAATATTGGTATAGCCAGCTAGTCAACACTCGAAATTGGATAATTTCTCCGAAATTTTTAACCCACCATACATGTACAGTGAGCGTCAGATGTGCTATGAATCTAAAGACAATAGATACAATATACTAGATTATGACACAGGTAATTTACATAGCTACTGTCTTAATGAGTGCACGCGTAATTTTATTGATATGGTGTACTTGTCCTGGCCAATATCGACTACTTACAAGCTAAGTCGATTTCACTATCCTCCTTATTGCACTAGCCTCCTTATTGATTCAATGTTCCTATCCGGGCTTTACTCTAGCCCGTGTCTCCCTCTCATTCGTTCAGCGGGTGCAGTTCCTTTCTCAGGCCCAACAGCTATGGCTTCCATTCGATAAAGCCGTCTCTCTACTATCAGTACTGCTAGGGCTGTTAGAGGAACGTAGATTTCCTCGTCACGGGGAGATAAACAAAATGACACTGCCGTAAGACTCTGATACTTACAAAATCCACGAAGTTAATCGCTCCGTTTATAAGATCGCATGGTTACTACGAGCGCTACATAGAGAAACATTATTACGACGGGTTGTTGTTAGATCCGAATATCTGTTACTGCATCATAGCAACATATGGTGCATTTATATTGGCCTATATATGTATAGAACTACGATAAGGTTCCGTTGGCAAACTGGAAGCGAAAATTACGTGAAGCATCACATGCATGTGTGGCGTAGCGTAATCCACGTATCAAACGACGTTTGGCTGATTGCTACAGCTGTTTTAACAATTGAAATGCACTAACTTTAATAACTGATGTATGTTCAAGTTGATATGTTCGTTCAAAGTTTTCCAAACGAATTGTTATAAAGCTTTTGTTCCTTGTTGTGATAAGTAATCAATCATTTAGTGTATATTCATATCTTTGAAGAACTTGTCAACGAATCAGTATGACAGCTTTTAGTTTACACGAATTAGTACAATATCTGAGTATAGAATTCTACCGGAAATTGACAGAGACACCTGTCACTTAAAAAACCTTAAGTAAATCTGTCGATAATGTAATCACTCCACTTTGCTAGGACAGAAAACAATTCCTTTTATACAGGATACATGTATGTGCCTGCTTGTGATAGCGCAGTGGGTAAGGACAGGCATTGCGTTGTTGACGACAAGAAACAGTGAAATCCGTTGCCGATGTTTAGGGCCGGCCTCTCTATTAGCTTCTGAGGTTTTGTTCAGGTTGCTGCCAGAGTCGACAAAGTTTTGATTTATAGGCTTACGGGACAGTCGGCATTCAAAACGACTCCACCAACAGCGTGGGTATCGTTCAGCTGCAAGTTAAAAAGCCCAGCGGGATAGGTTCGAATGCGCGGCATGGCGGGAAGGCCTAATGAATGTCCAACAAGCGTTTGCAGATGCCTTAACGGCAGGGAGCAGGGTAATTCCAAGAATCGATGCTTGAAGCCTTGCCTCTGTTAAAATATAGAAGTTGCATACGCAAGGCCGCCGGTGGCTCATTTGTGCTCCATGCGAAATGAGGTCAGAATACTGTAAGGCTGACGTAAACGGGATTTCCCCACAATTAGTGGATAAGGCACACTTACTGAATATTACTGGATATCGCAGGTCTCTCGCAGTTCGTATACTTGTACGATGTTCAACTTGCGCCGCTCACGGCTCTGGGGGGGGGGTCCTTAGGGTTAGCAATCCAAACAAACCACCATAAAACTGTAGTGCAGGCGGACGGAATCTTAGGTTGCTTCTCGCGTGTTCTTATGCGTTTCCGTACCGCGTTGTTAGTACGGATTCGAAACACTAGTGTCAAGTATTGCCGCCAAATCTAATACCATGCCGTCAGGGTAAGGTTCGAACTTACTACCCTGAAAAGATAAAGCAAACCTGAGAGACTTATGGGGCTGGTCTCAACGAATGAGGCCACATCTGTTTCGCGATGACTTTACCACAAATAAAGACATGTATACGCTGCTCCACATCGACGATGCTATCGATGCCCTTGGCGGCGCTCGCTAGCTTAGCATCTTGAAGACATGGGAGGTCAGCATGCATCCAGACAACAGAAACACAGAAGGCATTCTGTACGTCAAAAGCTCGAAAATTTCGAGCGGATGCTATTAGGCCTTGATAAGACATCTGCGACGTCCCAGGGGTTGATCGAAAAAATTGTTGGGCTTAAAGGCTTACTGAATGACTTGACACCGACAAGCAAAACAAAAAGTACTGGACGCCATCGTCCTATAGCTAAAAGCATACTATGCGACCCAGGAGGACGTGATGCCATAAGACGCTGCAAAAAGATTTTCGGATCTTGAGAACGTTTTGATAGCGAAAATCCTGCCTATCCCGCATCGGCAGGAGTTTCTAATAGGTTCTGGAAACAAGCCAGTAAGACCGGATCGCGAACACTGCTGGCTAAGGCAGAAGGGAGCGTAAGC